TCTGTTTGTGCAGAGATGTTTGCTTTATCTGTCATTATAGCAGCAGTTTGTGCAGATATGTTTGTTTTGATCTGTTTGTGCAGAGATGTTTGCTTTATCTGTCATTATAGCAGCAGTTTGTGCAGATATGTTTGTTTTGATCTGTTTGTGCAGAGATGTTTGCTTTAATCTGCTATCACAGCAGCAGTTTGTGCAGAGATGTTTGCTTTGATCTTTTATTATAGCAGCAGTTTGTGTAAATTTTTGTTTTGATCTGTAAATAATTTATTTGTAGAGTTCCTATCGAAATGAATTAACTTTAACTATATTACTCGTCATTCCTTCGTGGTATACATTTTGGATCTCTCTTACAATGTTTTACATGTTTTAATTCGTTTTGAAAAAGTTAAAACCCCAAGATTCGTATTCTGGAAACTTAGTGCTTGACTGGAAAAATCATAAGTCGTAAAATAGTTTAATTGCAAATATTTTATACTTAAACAAAACTGTAATCAAGGTTTTAGATGTCGTAGCTTAAAACTCTCATTCGTTAATTTTTTAGGTAGCTTGAACTTCCAAGAATCTTGATTTAAAATCTTATAAATATGTTGTGAAATCTGTGAAACGTCAGCTAAAGCTCTAGTAATAATATGACAAATGTTAGTTACCCTTTCTAAATATTTTTATTAACAATTTTCTCGAGTTTTGTTTTAAATACTAGATTTCAAAAAACTTCTTGAAACCTTGGTTTGATATTCTCTCAGGTTTCCAAAGAAAAAGTTTGGTTTTGGTCCTCGGATGCCAAGGTCTTGAAAGAAAGATAACTTCTTCTGTCGCCACCTGGTGTAGAACAAGATGAAACTGTTAAGTCATTCCTACTAGTTTCGTATTTTAAAAACTGACTTTAATTCGTAATAAGGAAAAGTCGTGTTTCACGTACGAATTATATTTTTGGTTGTGGTATTTTGTATTTGAATGCACAAAGTTTATAAAATGTAAAGGCGGCGTTGTGTATTTAAAGGAATTAAACAGTGAAATGTCCTGCCTAGACTACTCGTGTATGAGGTTACGTATATATAGTTCTGAACGAATCTGATGGCCGTGCGGGGCATCGCAATGACTGTGAGGTTAGACCTATTCCACAACACCTGATACCCATCAAACATTTTTAGTACAAAAGACACAATGAGCCGAATGGTCTGATCATACATTAAAGAGATCGACTTACCTAGTTAGAGACACTAAATCTAGTGATGTTTTAAAAGTTAGATATAGGAGCAAATATTTAAACCCAACAGAGTGCCGGTACCACTACTCTAAGTGTCTATAAACAAATGAATAAATTTACACACTGACAGTAATGTCTGAGATCTGGTTCAAAGGGATGACAGATTCATTCCCCAAATAAGTTTCCATTTGAAATGCATGGTACTATTTACAGTCCGCACCCAACCCTTCATTACCTAAATAATGATGCCGTTTTTACTTCCCTACTCCTAATTTCGTTTCTGCTTGGTTTGGTGATGTTTAAAAACATTCCCAGGAACCCACGTTACTATTTTCAGTTTATAGATACTGATATTTCTTATCTAGTCTCTCGTGTTATTTGGTAAATTAAATTTCTTAAAGATTTATGTTTACTTTTCTTCACTCTTTACAATGTATTCATTATCACTTAGTTTTTTATCTCAAAGGCTCAACTTCAGTAGAGATGCTATATTTAGTAACTGAAGGCAGTTTATTGGTGATTTTTTAATTGGATAGACATTTCCGAAATATGACTAGGCCTAAGTTGCGCTCCTATAAGATCATCTTGTGATAAAGATAAATTTAATGTTACTTGAAACGAGTTTTCTAAATTTCGTCAAGATGTTCTGTAATATTCACGCTTATTTTGCTTATTCTGTACGAAGTAATAAAAATGTCACATTTTCTTTTTTTCTCATATTTGTAAAAACACTGCCCGAAAAGCACAGAATATTATAAACAGAGTAGAACCATTTTTTAACGTACAGAACTTGGTACACCTGGGAATATTTCTTATACATCCAACTTAAAAATAAATACATACATATGAAATAACCTTATTAAACTAGGTGTACTTCCGCAGTGTCCTCAAAATTGTTCTCTTTCAAGATTAAATAATACCAAAATTAGAGTAACAAATGTTATTATTTCTTGGTTTTGAAGTTCATATGTCATGTGAAGCTGTGTTGAAGCCTACAGAGTGCATAATTCTTCTCGTGGTTCATGGTATTCGCACGTTTTACTGTCGTGACGACAGTAAGAATTGCAATGTTACTGATAGGCTGACAGACAACACAATACTGTGTAGTGGTGCGAGTGGTTAAAACAGGTGATCCCTCCAGGTGGCCATGAACCCCCATTCAGGAAAATTGTAAAGACATTAATTAAATGTTGCTAAACTACCACATAAACAATGCTAGTATACAGCCAGCTGTTGTTACAAGCAGAACGTGCCTGATACCCAACCACATGTATATTTATGTTAGAATTCCATGTACCAAAATGTACGTGATATGGCAAGATCATCATTAATATATGAACATTGAGTATATGAACAACATTTGCATACAAGCATTTGTCACAAGCAAATCGTGTCTCGTATCCAATCAGATAACTCGGACTGAACACAGGATAAGTGTAAAGAAACTTACCTAACAGCTCTATGTACCTAAATATCGATTTTGAAATTTTCGCGG